GAAAGATGGAGATGCCAACACTAAATTCTTTCACAACCTGGTAAAAGAAAAGAGGAGAAAGCAGCAAATTACGGGTCTTTTTAATGAACAAGGCCAACTTGTTGATAAACCTGATGACATGGAGGCCCTTGCAATTAACCACTTCACTACTCTCTTTAACTCCTCAGAACGTTGCAGCTCAAGTGAAGTTTATTCATAGTTTTTGGAAACCATCCCTCATATTATTGAACAAAGTCATAATGAAGGACTCATGTCTCTACCCACAGAAGACGAGATCAAGCTTACGGTCTGGAACATGGAGCCTAATTCATCTCCTGGTCCAGATGGTTTCAATATCAATTTTTTCAAACACTGCTGGGACATAATCAAGGGTGATATAACTTCCGCTTGCCAAGAGGTTTTTCTAGGGATTCCTCTTCCCAAAGCAGCAAGTTCTTCCAACATTTGTCTGTTGCCCAAGGTTGATAATGCAATGAAACTCAATGACTTCAGACCGGTTTGCCTTTCTACGGTGGCATCCAAAATTACTACTAAATGTATTGCAAGTAGGCTTGGAAGGCTTCTTCCTCTTATTATCTCTGATGAACAGGGTGCTTATGTTCCAAGGAGAGAGATTATGGACCAGATTCTCATCACCAAGGAGATGGTACATCATATTAATAGGAAAGCTCGGGGTGGTAACCTTATTGTCAAATTAGATATGGCCAAAGCTTTTGATAAGCTTAAATGGTCTTATCTTTTGGATATCCTCAAGGCTTTTGGTTTTTCTTCTCAATTTATCCAGATGGTGAATAACCTGCTTGCCTCCTCCAAATACTCTATTCTCATTAATGGCAAACCATGTGGATATTTTGGTCAATCAAGGGGGATTAAACAAGGGGATCCACTCTCTCCTCTCCTCTTTATTATTGCTAATGAAGGTTTCTCTAGAAACCTTAACAAAATGTTTCTTGATGGCTTCATTGACAGGTTCAATTCAGGGAGAAAGTCCATCCCTATTACCCACCTCTCCTATGCTGATGATATCATCATCTTCTCTTCTGGAAACACCAGATCTGTTGCCAACCTCAAAAGTTTCCTCAATGAATATCAATTGGTATCCGGACAGACCATCAATTACAGTAAGAGCAGCTTTATGATGGGTTCCAAGCCTAACTCTCTGGCCATTTCCAAGCTGGAAAGACTTCTAGGGATATCCCATAAAACCTATCCTTTTACTTATCTGGGTATTCCTATTGACTTGGGAATCACGAGACAAATTCACTGCGCCAACCTCATTTCTTCTTTCGATACGAAGCTGAATGGATGGTATCAGAAAAACTTGGATCAAGCAGGTCGTCTAGTGCTTATCAATCATGTCCTAAACACTCTACCCAACTATTTCCTTGCTTCTAATACAATGCCCAAATCCATCAAGCGCTTGTTAGACCAAAAAATGGCTAGATTTTGGTGGGGAGGAAAGCATCACTGGATTAGTTGGCAGAAACTTTGTGCCCCCAAAGAAGAGGGTGGCCTGGGAACAACAGATTTTAAAAGCTTGGAGAATGCCTTCAGCCTTAAACTTTGGTGGAAATACCACAATGACAATGGACTGTGGGCAAGGCTTATGAAAGCAAAATATTGGAGGAATGGGGAGATGAAGGCAAATATAACTGATTCCCTAGTTTGGAAGAGAATCTTCAACATTGAGGACACTGCCATTGATGCTTATTCTGTCTCTGATGATGGCATGATGCATTGGAAACTTGACCCTAATGGTTCATTCACCCTTAGATCAGCATATGAACTTTGTAGGGATGCTTCAACCCCCATGGCCTCTTTTAATTACCTTTGGGAATCCCCCCAAAACCCAAAGATCAGCATTTTTACTTGGAAACTTTTCAGACATTGTATTCCTACCCCTGAAAATCTGCAGAAACTTGGTTTCCTCATGCCCTCAATGTGCCCTTTCTGTAAAGGAGATTCTTACGATGCCAAACATTCCCTCATTGATTGCCATATGATTAGGGGAATTTGGCATCATTTCTCAGCCTGTGTTGGCATTCTACACCACAACTCCCCAACTATTAACCAACATTTCTTGAACTGGTGGCTTAGAGGAAACAACACCATTTACGGTTATCTTAGAATGCACATGCCTGGTATTATATCCTGGCATATTTGGAAGGCGCTTAACTCGCTTATCTATGAAGACAATAGCAGCTTTAATCCCTCAAAGCTCATTGATTCAATATCCAGGTATATAAAGAGCTGGCTCCAAATCAAATTACCTAAACATCTTAGGATCTATGATGCTTGGCTTATGAACGCACAAATACTGCCTAAGTTCCAATCCAGTCCTAAAATACGCGTGGTCAAGTGGTTGGCACCTCCAAAGGGCAGAATTAAACTGAATGTGGACGCATCCTTCTCTCATAATGCTAAACATGGAGCAGCTATCCTGAGAGATGACCAGGGCAGATTCGTTGGCGCTGCCTCCTTCCAAGTTACAGGTACATCCCCCTACCAAGCCAAGGTGAATGCTGCCATTAAGGGCATCACATGGGCGTTTAACTTTGGTAAACTCTTGGTCTACGAAACGGATGCCAACGAAATCATTGTGAGACTCACAAAATATGCTCATCATTCATATTCTCCATTTCCAATTGACATCCTGGAGGCTATGATCATAAACAATGACATATGGACGTCTCATACTCTTCGAGAAGGAAACCAGCCCGCGGACTTGTTGGCTAAAGAAGACGCAACCAAAGGATATAATTTCATTGAATATTGTAATTTTTGTGATTGTTCTTCTTCTGTAAAGGCCTCTCTCTATAATGAGAGTGTCCCCTCCTTTCGATTCCATTAATAATTCCATAATTTCAAATATATATATATATATATATATATATATATATATATATATATATATATATATATATATATATATATATATATATATATATATATATATATATATATATATATATATATATATATATATATATATATATATATATATATATATATATATATATATATATATATGGAGATGGCTAGAGAGAGAAATTTTTCCGGCAACACTCCGGCTAAGATTCCGGCACTCAGCATCTCTGGTACTAATCGTAAACTCCCCAAGCTTTTCTCAGAGTTGTTTTCTCATTCTACATCAATTCCCCTGGGAAAGGTGGAGGGATTTTACAAGGGCATCCCCTCAGCCTCGTTTACATATGAAGAAGAAGGAATATTGGCAGAGAATTTTAAGTTTGCAGTAATTGGGCGCAGTAGCCAAGAGCTTAATCTGCAAGGGCTAAAAGCTTTCCTTCTTAAGGGTGGCTTCAATGGAGGATTCAAAATAAGAAGGGTGTCTGCAAAAACCATCCTTTTCATCTTCACGCAGGAAGCAGACTATGTCAGATTCCTTAGGAAGCAAAACTTGTTTGTTGGCTCTGCTCATCTTCATGTCTGTAAATGGAGTAAGAATCTTAATATGTCTTTTGATAATCCAGTGGTTCCTATTTGGGTTACTTTCAAAAATCTTCCATTACACTTTATGAGTTTTCAATCTTTATTTACTCTTGCATCAACTATTGGACGTCCTATCCAATTAGACGAGAAGACTGCTAACTTGGATAGGGGGGCAGAAGCAAGAGTTCTCATTGAAAGGGATCTTTCATTACCTTTTCCTAATTCAGTGCACCTAAGGATTGGAGATAAGGATCTTATTATCCCCTGCCAGAGAGAAAGTTACCCAGATTATTGCACTTTCTGCAAGAAATTGGGGCATAATTGTAAAGGTTGCAAAAACCTTACCGGAAAGGCAAATCCCGGCAAGGGCAAGAAGGTAGAACAGAAAGAAGATGGGGCCTACCAGTGGAATATTGTTAAGGGTAAGAAAACAAGCACAACCAGCAAAATAAGCTCAACACACCTGCAAAATAAAAAAAGGTGGGTCAGGAAAGAAGGTACAATTGCTCAGACTAGTAGTCATAATACATTTAACCTGCTGGACCAACCCATGGAGCCAATCTCTGCTACAACCATACCCACACCTGCAGAAATTATAGAGGATCTCCAAATTACAAACAGCTACAGTACAAAGGATCTCTTCCCATCCCTGTCAGAAGCTAAGGCATATGCTAAGAGGAGGATTGCTCCTAGGTCCCCTAGGAATTCATTTAGGCACATCCCATCTTCTTTGGATTACTGTCTTCATACTAGCCCAGATATTGGATTAGGCATATTACTGGACTCTTTGGAAAACCACAAAATATCAGGGGAGGCCTAATTTCAATTTGGGTACCATTCAGAGGGGGAAGAAGTTACTATCCTTGATAAATCTAAACTGAGGGATCTGGAAATTTGCACCCCAGCCCCTAACTCAATTTGTGTCTCAGTACCTAAAGCTGAAAGGAAAAAAAGGGGCCAAAATATCCCTAATATGCTCACCAGGAGCATGACAGGGAACAAAGATGTTACTTTTTTCCATTTGCCATGAATTGTATCTTCTGGAATGTTTGTGGGATTAACTCTTCTGTAAATAGACTAATCTCTCTTACTAAGGCTAATAGAGTGGATTTTGTTGCTATCTTGGAACCAATGGCTAAAGAACATAAGGTGAAT